CAGGACCCAATCAAAGGAGATGCTTCACTTCCTGTCCAACACGTGAGTGTTGCCACAGAGCGTAAGAGAAGGGCATAATGAAATTATAAAGAACAGGGCAGAAAGGCAATCAGTCAGTTCGGGGGCAAGTGACAGGACGGTCTGCTGTACGTGGGAAAGGGGCGCCGTGCAATGAACTGGGGTTAGAGACATGAGCACCAGACACCCTCAGAGGCCTGAGAGACTGGGAGAGTCTTTTTTCAGGCCTGACAAGCATGACAAGAAGCTTGAGAAAGACAGTCTTGGACCGTCAGGGACCTATGAATTTATAAACTGCTTGGTGACCAAGACCATAATCTTTTTAATGTTAACTGTAAAATGCCTCAAAGTGTTCCCTGCAGGTAAGGAACATTTATTTAAATAGTTTTGATCACATGATGAAGAGCTAAGGGACCTCCTTCTTCAGTCAGCCAGTTGGGAATGCTTTTCAGGACCTTTGGCACAGAGATAAAAAGACATTACATAAGCAAATCAGGGGAGAAACTGATACATAAAATGTGCTTACACTGGACATCTCAGAATGATATGCCCAAGCCCCACATAGCAGCTCACTTCCTGCAAGCCGTGGTCATTGTTGTCACATTTGAGCAACAGGAACAAACGTGGAGTTGCTGTAGTATCAGACTGTGCTTCTCTAAGCAAACATTCTGCCTAATGAAGGAGTTTGGGCAGACAGTGGTTTTGAGCTCTTGTTTAGTTAAGAGAGCCTTTGTTCAAAGCAAAGCATTTGTGGAAGTCTGATATGTGAACCGGTAAGAGGAAAGATGCTGGCATGTTTGGGCCTCTCACCACCCCCACTATCCCTTGTTAGCCCCTTGGACCCTGAGGTGTCTCCTGGTAACCCCATATTGGAAAACCACTAGAATGATGTCAAAAGCTGAACATTGTAAGCAGACATGTGGATGCTAATCTAGGGTTATACTTTCTAGCTAAAATGGACTTCAGGGGGCACCTGGGTGGCTCAGTCGGTTAAGCGACTGCGTTGGGCTCAGGTCATGATCCTGGAGTCCTGGGACTGAGCCCCACATCTCCCTCTGCCCCTCACCCCTCTCATGCTCTCTCTCATTCTCTCTCAAATAAATAAAATCTTTTAAAAAAATAAAATAAAATGGATTTCAGTTTCCTCACTTATGAAAATGAGGTCAGTGATATCTGCTCTGGAAGGTGGTTGTGAATATTAATGAAGACATGTTTGAAGTGCCCAGCACAGTGCCAAACACAAAATGGCCCTCAATAAATGTGAGCTCCGTGTTCATATAAATAATCGTCATTGCACTCCTGGTGAAGCTGGAGGTTCAAGATCATGATCCCTAAGGCTACGTCAGGGCAAGGCCTGAAATGGAATGACATTAATACTTTGACTACCTCCAGAATCCACATGGGAAGCTAGGGACAAAGCCAGGACCTCTTGGTGTCAGGATGGACCTGGAACTTTCCTACCAGCTGCAAACGAGCAGCTCCTGACACGGCTCTGCACACTAAGGTCAAGTGCCCTGGACTGCCTCTACAGAGATTGTCAAATTTGCTGTGTAGAAGAGCTACCTAAGTAAGTTAAGGACAGAAAATTAATTCATTTTGCCAGCAAGCAATTATAGTAAGCCCAGAGGCTACCCCAAACGATAGTAGGTGTTTGGTGGGTGTGGTACAGGCTCATGAAGAAACCTCCCTATAGTGCCATAAAAAGAATGTATTGAAAGAGGGTTTAAGCAAATCCAGGAAGCTAAGGCAATTATAGACCAACTAGTCTATGCACCAGTCATGAGGACTTCACTTCTTCAAAGCCACACACAACTTGATTATGACTTGAAAATATTCTTCTAGAAAATGGCATCCAGTTGTATTCTTCTTAATTAGCTATGGATCTCAAGTCTCTTTTGTCTTCCTTCTTTCCAAGCTACCCACTGTTCAGGTTGTTGCTACATAATGTTTACATAATGTATTGATTAAATCAAGAGCAGAGTGGAGGAAGTTCAGACTGATTTTGGGCAAATTTTGTTTTGTGCAAAGCCCTGGCAATGTATTAAGGAGGAGGCAAATAATCGTATGGCCTAAGGTGACTGATGGATGAGTCCATCATTCTAAGGAGAAATGTCTTTGGGATATGACAAAGAAAGAAAATGACAACAGTATAGGGAAATCTTCGCTTAAAAAATTTCTACTAAACTTTCATCCATTGTACAATCTCTTCTCTTCCATGGCGCCTCCTCCCTATGATCAGCCCCCATCCAGTTCTCAGTCTTCGCCTGAAGCCCGAAGTTTTAGGTGCCCCCTCAAGATTGGTATGTAAGTAGAGGGCCATCAACACACCTAGGAAAAGTATTTTTGAAGTATAATAATGGAAGCAGTACGGGCTGCTTCACAAATTAAATTTCAAAATATGATCTCGTCTATTAACAATTCTAATTAACGGCAACTGCCTTTTCATGCCTGGTCCCACAGCTCCCCCTCCTGGCTCTTTCCTTCCCTGGCACTGCCCCTCACACAGAGGATCCACACAAACAGCCTTGGGCTTTGCAACACTCAACTTCTGAGTCTCAGCTTCCTCATCTGCAAAGTGAGCAAATGCGTGAGAAGGTTCTAAAATACCTTTCAGCTCTAACATTGTATCTAAAGTGTAAGATTTTATCTAAGGATAAAATTAAATTCTAAAGCAATTAGTTGGTCTGAAATTCCTAATGCTGAAGATTTTGAAGGGCCACGCTGATATGTGTTGGATCAATGAATGTTGTCTTAGTACTCAGGAAAGTATACACAGCAAACACACAGCAAACAAAAACTAAGCTTGGTGATTTGAAGTCTCCAACTTCTCTGTGGACTGGTCCTGAATAAATAACACGGGGAAAGCAAGTTATCTATAAACTAGGTGCATTTGATTTTCAAATATATCTGGTCGAGTGTCCCTGAATGTGGATGAGTTTATTTCTCCAACGTTGCCTTATTGTGTTCTGTTCAGCTTTACTGGTGCCTAGATTATGCCTGGCTGGGCTGAAGGAAATGACAGTAAAACAGTAATATTTTTTTAATGGGAAACTCATTTGGTTATCACACATTTGCTGTTATTCTTCAGAGGGGTAGAATCTGTGCGTTCCGTCAGCTTTCCTAGTTAATATATTTCTCCGCTGCGGAGAGAAGGAAATGGAGCTCCGACTATTCCCCCCTGACTTCCGTTATCAAGACCACAAGTCTTGAGTGTAAGGTCACTGACAGCTGTTATTTATTAAACCTGGCCCTGAATGTGAATCGCCTGAGTTGTCAGGGTAAATTTGAGTCATTTTCTAAACAGTGACAAGGATCCCATAACGTGGCCAGCTTTAGGAACTTTCAAGCAGACGAAGCCAGTTCACATTAGTCAGTCCTGCTTGTCCATAAGGGACCTTCATGCTGCAAAGAAGTACTTCACGTGAAGTCTTTTAGCAGGTCTACCTGCTGGGAGCCCCAGACACGGTTTTTCCTGCTCTTGCCCAGCGCTGAGGCTGGTTTTGCGATCTCCCTCGCTATCACTTCTGCCACCACTAGGAGGCGCTGGACGAATGAACATAAAGGTTCATCAGCATTCTCACCCCATTCCGTGTCCCCCAGGGACCCTGCACAGAGATTCTGTGGGCAGTAAACTTGGCAAAGCCACTGTGTTCCCCACTTGAAGATTCACAATAGACATTAGCTTATTAATGACCCTAAGAAATTTAAAAGTAAAAAGAGAAGGGGGATAAGTTTGGAAGGAAGAGGGAGAAAGAGAAACAAGGGAGAGAAAGCTGTTACGTTTATTTCACCCTGCATTTGGTGGGGGGGGTGGTGGAGCTTATTTAGCCACCAACCTCTTCTTAGTATAAAACCTATTACGTCCTGCTGAATTAGAGTTCTGCAAATGTTCCCACTTGGGAAATACAGGACCAGCTGATCACTTGAAATCATCCTAATTCTGACAATGCTATTTACAGATCTTCGAACGCACAATTCTGATGAGCCCCTTCCCTCGCCCGGAAATCCTCCACGGCCTCCGCCTGCCTATAGAGTCCAAATTCCTTAGCATGACCTTCGAGACCTACCAGAATTTGGCCTTATCTTTCCAGTCTTGGCTCCCTGCCTTCCTGTCCATGAGTGTCTGCTGCCTCCGAAGTGGGTCTCCCAGGCTCTCTCTTCTCCTGTCGCTTGCTTCCCCACCTCTGTGCCTCTGCTGGTGCTGCTCGGTCCGGTCCGGAGGCCTGTCATAGTCTTTGCACGTACAAATGCCATTCACTTTAAATAAATGAAACAATGACCTGAAACAAATAGATCTCTAGTCTCTCAAAAACAGAGACTAGAGATCTATTTGAACTTTAATAGGGGAAAAACAATTAATCCAAAGGAAAGATCTCTTAACATTAAGGCCTAAGGAATCAGCAAGGGACTAAGAGAAAGATACTTTTTAAATGAGGAAATTGTCCTGAGTTCTCAAAACCATCCACATATATGACTGCTTGGCTACTTTATAAGGTATACCTGATCTTAAGCATATATTTTCACAACTCATCTCTGCAGAAAATGCTTACCTTAAAAACCTAACAAACAAAAAAATCTTAATTCTCTAATGCAGCAGTTACCAAACGTGCTCTCCAGATGTGGCAGCATCACCTGAGACCTCCTTAAAAACACAGATTCTCAGTCACCGTCCCAAGCCCTCTGCTTCAGACACTCTGAGGATGGGGCCGGGAAGCTGTGTTTTAACAAGGCCTCCGGTTGATTCTGATGCGCAACCAAGTTTGTGCATAATTATATTCAGAGTAAATATGTTATCACCTGTGTCCATAATCTCAAAGATACAGAAATGTGCGTTTCACTTTTCACTCCAGTCTGTTACCATTACTGGACAACCCACTCCAAAATGGAATGATGGCAAATCTCTTTGGTCTCTGGCCTTTGACTTCCACCAGTTCGCTGCACGGGCATCCACATAGTCATTAAAACCTGCCCATCTCTTACAGCGGATCAAGCAGATCCCTGCAAATTCCTGGACTGTGGCGAATTTGCCGAATGTGTGAAAAATGAGCGGACCAAGGAAGCAGAGTGTCGCTGCCGACCAGGGCGCGTGAGCCGGGGGCGTGGGCACCACCGGGACCCGGGCCTCTGTGCCCCCGCAGAGGAATGTGAGGTCATCCAGGGAAAGGGAGCTCCGTGCAGGTGGGTCGAGCACAATCACTTTATAGACCCAGGAATTTGTTATTCTTGCTTTTGAGAAACCTATTGTTAGAATGAATGCATACGTTCCTCTAAACCCATGGGTTCTTGATCTCCAGTGCACATCAAAATCTCCCAGAGGAGGACTTCTTTTAACACATGGCTGGGCCCTGCTATGCTCTTTTTTAATGCAGCAGGTCTGGGTAGGGCCCAGGTAAGGCTGCTGCTGGCGGTCCAAGGACCACACTTTGAGACCACTGCTCTGGCCTTTCAGCAGTATTTCAGTAAGACCAGTAAGGGAAGGAAAAAGAGCCTGTGTCAGCTTCAAGACCAGTACCACATAGTCTCCTACCTTATTAGTGTTGAGGGGGGTGTGTGTGTAATATTTTTTCCCTATTTGTAAATATAGCTTTCATCATGAGAAATTTGGAAAATACAGAGAATTATGAGAAAGAAAAATCATGTGATATTCATATTAACTGTTCTTATCCTGTGATGCACATGTTTGTACAGAATGTTTGCATAGAATGTCCTAAAGCAAAATGGAATCAGACTGGCTTCTTTTATACACTGCTTTTTTACATAGAAGATTCCCCCATGTCATTAAATATTTTTTGTACCATCATTTGTAATGATTACATAGTATTCTAGTCTATAGATATGATATGTTTCATCAGTCCTTTATTTCCAACAGAAAGGTTAAGAGAAGCTCTTAAGAAGAGGGAAAAGGAGGCAAGATATAACTGGCCTTCTATTCACGAACCAGACTTCAGGGTGTAGATGGCATTATGAACCATCAGGGAACACAGAGGCCCCTAACACTTCTCCAAGTCCTGTGACACCTAGATCAAGTCCACACGTGCACTCTGCCCGCCCGTGGAGGGCTTCTCCCTGAGTCTGACTCGCCTCTCCCAGCCAAGAGTCTCCAATCACACACACCTGAACATCTCCCCAGTGGTGATCACCTGAGACCCGTATCTTGAGTAGATCATCCTGTGTTTGTTTTTACTGCCCTCTTACTCATTCTAGTGGCCGCAGTCTCTAATTTCCCACCAGGGAGCTCACGGCCATCTGCTTACTCCATCAACAAGAAGCTAGAGAGAGTTAGCCTTTCTCTTCATGAAACATACCCTGTTTTTTCAAAGTATTCACACTTTAAAGACAACGACTTAACCCAATTATGGTTAAGAAGCAATATTCTGGAGTCATATTGTGATTAAAATTTTGGTTCGGGGCGCCTGGGTGGCTCAGTCGGTTAAGTGTCTCAGGTCATGATCTCGGGGTCCTGGGATGGAGCCCCGCTTTGGGCTCCCTGCTCAGCAGGAAGTCTGCTTCTCCTTCTGCCTGCCTCTCCCCCTGCTTGTGCTCTATCAAATAAATAAATAAGTAAATCTTTTTAAAAAATTTTTTGGCTTAGCAATTTACTAATCAAGTGACCTTGGACCAATTAACATCTCAAAATCTCAATTCCCTCATTGGATAATGAGACTAATAAAACCCACCTACTGGGTTACTGCAAGGAGTAAATGAAATTGTTTATAAAGCATCTTTACAAAGAACATAAAACACAAGAATATCCATTCAAGTGAGTGAGGATTATGATAATGCTGTCAACTTACTCCAAGTTAATCTCAATCCCAACAGGATTTTATATGGAATTTGGCATTCTGGTTCTAAATTTATTCTGGAAATGAAAATGTACAATGGAAAATCTTGAAGTACAATGATGGAGAGGTTGCTCTGAAGGACAGTAATACATAAAATAATATTTAGAACACTAAGACGGACAATAAATACACAGAACAAATATATATAAGCCCCAAATGGACCCTTATATTTAGACTATTTTAACAAGCATTTCAAATCAGTAGGGGAAGTATGGACTGATCAGTAATGCTTAGAATACAACTGGCCTTCCATTTAGAAAAGAAATAAAATTAGTTTTTTACTATACACCAATCAATTCTATATCAAAGATTGAAACCTAAAATCAAAACTGTGAAAGTATGAGGAAAACTATTTTTAAAACCATTTGTATAATCCTGGGCTAAAAAAGCCTTCCATAATTAAGACACCAATTTCATGTGACATTAAAAGGAGAATTTCCACAGGGGGAAAAGTCACCATAAATAAAATTAACATATTAACGAGGTGGGAGAAAAATATTTATAACCTATCTTAATATTGTAAAGGTTGAACATCCATAATCATCGGAGCTCCTACACATCAATAAAAGACAAGCATGCTAATATTAAAATGGGCAAAGAATACCCAAGGGCAATTCATAGAAGAAATCCAGATGACCAAGAAAACATAGGCAAAGATGCACTCAGTCTCACTATAATTAGGGAAATCCAAAAACAATAAAGAGGTATCATTTGTTACTCATGAGTTCAGTAAAAAATGTTAATACTATCCAATGTGAGTAACGTCAGGGAAAACTAGTCCTATCAAGTATTGCTGGTGGATGGGTAAATTGGAAAAAACCTTTTTCCAATTTGTTGGTATCGATGAAATTTTAAATTTGATTCATATACTCTACTTTTAGACAATTATTCCTACAAAAATAGTTGCATTTGTGCACTAAGATATGTTTATAAAAACATTCCCAGCATCACGGCTTCGAATCGTGAAACAACGTACAGCCCCTCTGTGGAGAAACAGTTAAGTGTGGTGTATCAGTCGCTACGGAACACAACAGTTGAAAGCAATAATACAGTCTACCAGAGCTGCCATAGAAATAAGACATTTTATTAAATGAGAGAAGTAAGTTGCAGAATAATAGATCCTGTTTGGGTAATAATTTAATAATAAAATTATGTATACTTAGAAGTATATTAGTTTCAACTATATGGCATTACCATTTTATCAGTAACAAATCATCAAATATTGGCAATTTTGTATGGTTTGCTCAAATATGTAAGGAAAAGCATAGCAAATACGTGAAATGACAGACACACTCAGCTACTATCCCAGTTAACTATGGAAAGGAGTAGAATTGCCCAGTGTTAAATGTTAAACCCTGATCTCAGCATGAGGACAAACCCCACGGCCCCCACAAGCCGCCTCAGAACTGAAGCAGAGGGGTGCTGAGTACTGTTGGATCCCTGACCCCACTACTGTTCCTCCCAGATGCCATCATGTACGTGACTCTGACAGTTTACTTATGTGAGGATCAGGTGACCGTTTAAGACCTTATCAACCATAGCTGAAGACGGTGATTAAACCGGAGGCTTTAGAGTTAGACCTGAGTTAAAGCTCTATTCCAACTTGTGACCCGAAGCAAATTTGAGCCCCACATTTCTCGTCCATATAATGGGGATGACAGGAATACATTCATGGGTTTGGGTGAGGAGTAAAGCAGATGCTCTTCAGGGTGAAGCGCTCTGCTGCGGGCATTATTGGAGCCATTTGGTAATTATCCACCAAGGGCAGCCCTGTAAGGAGAAACCTGAGTTCCTACCTGGCATTTAAACCTAAACTCAGAAGCATATCAGCCGACGACACTAAAGTGCTGTTAACACTGAAAGCAGCACTCTCTAAAGCATTGTAAACTCGGCTGCATTTTTTGTTAGTCTACCTGAAAGTGAAGAAAAGAGATAGGAAAATTATACTGAGGGCAGGTGCCTTCCTGAGATGAGTCCATGGATACACAACGAACATTTTCAGTTTGTTTTCTTTGTCATTCTACTGCCATCATTCTATTTTCACCTTTGTTTTTCCTTCTTTTCCTCAATTCAGTACTTAAGAATATACTCCATACATTTTTCATTTTCTTAAATTTTAATTGTCCTATATACATATTCAGTTATATTAAGAACTTGGCAAAAATTCTCCCAAGAATAAACAAAATTTTCATTTTCAAAGGTCCCTTTTTTAGCTTAATGAGTTTGACTTTTATTAATTCATCATTATACATATGCAGAAAATGCAGATCTAGATCTAATAGAGTAAATTATTTATGACTTTTCCTCCTCAGATCTAAAAATTTTCACTTTGTCCTTTAATAGGCCTAATGTGTTCTCTGTGATGTTTTTAAAGATTTTATTTATTTATTTGAGAGACAGAGAATGAGAAATAGAGAGCACAAGAGGGAAGAGGGTCAGAGGGAGAAGCAGACTCCCCGCTGAGCAGGGAGCCCTATGTGGGACTCGATCCCGGGACTCCAGGATCATGACCTGAGCCGAAGGCAGTCGCTTAACCAACTGAGCCACCCAGGCGCCCCTCTCTGTGATGTTTTTAATAATGAAAATTATTTCCAAATATAGGAGGCAGATTAAGGAAATGATGCAAAGTGACATCTATGAGGATATTTTAATAAGGAAGTACTTGTCTTAACTACAGTAAGATCCCAGATTTACTCACTTGCTACACCTCAGACAAGGGAGGGATCCATTTTTTATCGCTAGTAGCTGTCCCTAACTCCCTTATGAGCACTTTCTCCACTGAATGGGGAAGGGATGGCAGGGAAGGAACCAAGACAGGGAGGGGTTAGAGTTTAATATAGCCCAATCCGATTTTAAAAACTACATCTGATTAATAGTTGGAGCAATTTAGGCAACTCAATTCCCTTGGAGTATATAATCAGGCTCAAAAATCCTTTCCCTTTCCTTCCTTTCTCCAAGGTGGTGCCTAAATGTTTGGGGAGTGGGGGCGGAGGCCTCTTCTTGCCTCACCAGGCCCTTTGGAAAGTTTCTATCCTCGTATTTCCCTCACCTGTGATCTCTTAGTTCTGACCCCAGGCACCTACCCATCCCTTAGTACTCTGAGCCTCCAAGTCACCCAGCCTGGGTAAGTAGGAGCCAGAAATGCTGCCTTAGCTGGTGATGGAAGGAACAAGGAACTTGTCCTCCAACTACACCTGCCGGATAGGCTCTTCTTCTTCCTAGAGTGATACCCTCTCTCGCCTTTCCCTGAAATTATAATGGACATAATGTTGGGAGAAAGAAAACCATTTACTGATAAGGGAACATATGTCAGAAAGTATTCTCCAAATATTATATCCATCTTATAATGTAAAGAGGGAAAAGGCAAGATGCAAAATGTGTATACACTATCATCAGAAATTATATAACATGTATATTAAAAAGTCTGGAATTATATACATCAAATTTTTAAATTACTTTTATTTTTAAACTGTGTGAACAAATGTCATTGCACAGTTGTTTTTCAGCAACCACGACTCAGAACCTGACTTTAAAAATAACGCAAAAAATAGTAACTCCACTTTTTGCAAGATGAAGTTATCACTCATCTTTCCCATGAGCTTTGTTCAATCCTTCTGACACCACTGCCTAAGAAACAGTACGCCAACTGGAAGGCAAAACTCAGGGGCAGATGCCGAGAGCATAGTTCTAGCTCTAGTGGAGAGCACTTGCAAAAATAGGCTATCCGTTTTCATTGTCATATTAATTTTAAAGCTAAAATAGTAGAAAGCTGTAGTTGCTATTAATGTTGATAAGCCCAGGAAATAGGATACCATGTTTCTGCTTTTTTTTTTGTAGATCGCTGGGTCACTCTAAAAATCAAGCATTCAAAACCAGTGTTAAGAAGCTGCAACATCAGCAAAATAACAAGGTAAAATAATACTTTTATATGTTGGTTTTGATTACTGAATTTTAAAGAAAATTTAAAACATTTCTAGGTCTCTTGTTTTAAATAGAGGTAAGTGAGAGCACTTTTCCTTTATTTGCCAAGCTTTTTAATTTAGTATTGTAAGGTGGGGGCGCTGAATGCATTTCTTGGTGTGAGGAAGACAGAGACAGAAGGCTGGCATTAACTGAAACATATAGATAAAACAATAAAAAAACAGAAATGATCCAAGTAGTTTTATTCACTTTTTCTTATAAAAATATACATGCAATTTTTCAAATGCATTGCAACAGGTTGCAATTTTCATAATAATTTATATTCCTGGAACTGAATAATTTTATGCATATTCTTATAAAATATCTTCAGTGATTTCAAATAATGAGGAAAAGCAAAGATATGTAGAGAAACAGAGGAAACATAATTTGTGAACGAGTAACTTCAAAAATTCCTAAAAGTTCATCCTCAGATTAATGTTCCTTTCAGTGTCCTAGATGTCCCTTTCAAATTATTCATCCAACTTATTTTACTAAATTAATTGTCTTACAAAGGGAAATAACTTATCTATATCCAGGTTAAATATAGAGATTTTTTAAAAAAAACTTTTGAGAAAATACCTTGGACAACTTTTAGTCTAAAATAAAAAATTTTTAAAAAATTAGACCATCTTTGATGGTAAAAGTGAGTGATAATCAGCCAGTGCCCACTCTACCTGAAATCTATAGAGTCGGGTGGAAGCTTGCACTTGAAACAAGTTACTACCATCAACAGACAGTCAAGGATACCTCAGTATCCAAGCACACCAAAGGCTAATCATAATTTCCTATCTCCGGGTGCACACTGGGAAGAACGTGTGCCATTCTGATTTCCTGAAACAAAGCAACTCAGAAAGACAGAGTAAGTTCAGACTTGAACCACAAAATGACAACAAAACACCAGATCTGATATTAATAAAATGTCTGGGATGAAGCAAACACCAAGTAAATCCTAAAGTCCCAGGGAGAATTAAGGATCACATTTCATCTGAAGCAGCAGAATGGAATAATCATTTCTGTTTGCCCTCTCTGCTTGAAGAGATGGTTCAGCCTGAGAATCTAAATGGGTCTAAGAAGAGATGGAATACATTCCTACCACGTTATAAAGTTAGGGATATTTTGGAGGGCATCTCCGAACCTTTCAAAGAAGATACCTAAAAGGCAAGCATATTCTTTCAAACACCAGAAGTGACACTGGAATGCAATATGGATTTGACCTCAAGTGGCATTTCTTAAGTTCTTAAAACTATTTCTCTTCCAGATAATCAGGAAAAGAGATTCTGAATTACTGACTGGAGGATATGAAGAATTTAATTATCAAGATTGGGAAGGAAATTAAAAACTAAAAATGTACAGATTATAACTTGATCTGTCTCAAGAGAAATGGTCTGTTTTCTCAAGGAAAATTGTATCCACTGTTAAAAATCTGAAAACATAGGCAGGCATACTCACTCACTGGTCATCAGAATCCAGGCATAGAATCAACATTGAGAACCAAAACACACAATGTTTCAAATAGAGAAGCATCATGTACTTGATGACTGCAGAATTGCAGAAAAAGATGCTTATTATCAAAACCCAAAACACAATCATTAAAACATATTTCAGCTACTCCTGATAGTCTTCCAGCTACCCTTAAAATACTGCTCACAGATCATATACAAGTGCAACTTACTTATTGTTTAGGGGAGGTTGAACAATATATCATGAGGCAAAGCTCTTCTTCATGTGTTACATGTTCATAAAAGATGACTATTATGCAAGGAGATGCAGGTCTCTCTGAATCATGGACATATCCAGTATGTAAACACTGGTGGGGGTATATTTGTTCCACACTTCAATGTCTGTCACACACACACACAAAGACCTTCAGTCTTAAAGCACCCTAATTTTAGAAGAAATTAGTGCTTACACAGTAGATCGTATTGTTGCCAATAATTTCTGAATTGTTCCTTTAAAAGAAAAAGGAAGTGGGGTTCACATATACATACCATGAGAAATCTCTTCTTATGACCACATAAAGCTATGTTAAAGGGAGAGAAAATGATGTTATGCTTTGTCACATAACCAATGCCTGTTTTCCACCACAGATGAACTATGCCTTCCTATAATTTAATAACTCCATTGAATACTGCTGGACACTAACTTTCCTGTGTGCATGGGTAGATTGGCATCAAGGTAATCCATTTTGGTCAAATTTTAATGTGGTACTTAATGAAAAATGGTTTCTCTATTTCAAATGTTTCACTATTAATATATTTGCTGCAAAACCTTAATTTCAATAAAATTAAGCACAATATTCATAGATTTATAATAAAATGGATCTGTTTTACCAGCTATTCCCTGGATTTGCTTTATGGATTCTGATAAATGATTTTAAGCATGATTTTCATGCTACCAAAAGATAGCAAAATATTCAACACTGACAGCAACATTTTAGCAGTAAAACTTCAAGAATAAAAACAAATGTTTCCTAGTAATAGACACAATCCTCCCCCCACACACACACCTGGTTACAAATCCTTGAAAATTCACTTCTGTTGGCCTCAGAAATGCATAGCTACACCCCAATCCTCCCCTAAAGTGAGGAGCTGTGATATGGGATAAGGACATCAAACTGCGCTATGTTGATCGAGTGCCACAAAGAACCTACTCACTTCCATATCCCTGGAACCCAGAGGAAAACATGCTTGTTAGTAGCATGACAGGCCGACCAAAATCACATGAAAACAATTCCATTAAGAGAGAAAATGAGGGGCGCCTGGGTGGCTCAGTCGGTTAAGCACCTGCCTTTGTCTCAGGTCATGATCTCAAGGTCCTGGGATCAAGCCCTGGAACAGGCTCCACGCTCAGCAGGGAGTCTGCTTGTCCCTCTCCCCGCCCCCACTCTCTCTCTCAAATAAATAAATCATTTAAAAAATTAAAAAGATAAAAAAGAAAGGAAGTGAAAATCTGACAATGATCACCTCCTCATAACATGCCCTCCACCCTCCACATTTCAGTTGTGCTCTAACAAGAGCAGGGAATGTTGTTTCTGATGGGGAAGGAGAAGTAGGTAAACACTCCACCCTCTGTTAGAAAGGTGCCCCTCTGAAGCAAGGGCCTCTCACTCGTTGGATCACCCACATTTTGGTCTTTTCCAACCAGCTAGAGAAGAGCTGTTGACCCACCTGGATCATGGTAGGTTCCAGATGAGGGGCAAGAAGTAGGCTATAGAAACTATCGATATTCAAAGTCTCAGCAAGAAGGCCTCTTCTTTGGATCCCCAGTTTTTACATCTTGTGTCATCTTGTAAACAGACTGGTAAGGGCGCCTGGGGAAAGGCAGCCAAAATTTGGGTTTTCTCTAATCTAGTCAGTGTGAGTAGTCGCAGGTCACACACGGTCCTGCTTGTTCCCTGGATGGAAAACCCGTAAGAGTTTGGGGCCAAAACAAGGGTATTCCAGTCACCTGAGTTCCCTTGCCTTTTCCCCCCAGCCACCCAGCACAGGGTTTCCAGCTCTGGTGACTGGATGAAGCTCTGGACCCCAGACTTCTCCAACTTATTCCATCTGAGACATGGGGCAACAAGTGCAACGTTTACAACTGTTTTGTTTGTAACACCCTGTAACTGTATGAAAAGCACAAGATGCAAGAGGAAGTTCTACAGAGACAGCATTTATTATTTCTATTTCCAGTACATCATTTTAGGAAAGAATCAGATACACATTTTTTTTAAGGAAATGAGGAAAAATTAAGTAACAGTTGCAATTAGATGGGTTTTCAAAAGTGAAAAGAAAATGGCCAATTAATAAGCCTATTTGAGGTCTGAGGTTGAGATGATGCATAGATACAAATTAGTATTCAAGATTCTCTTTTTAATTGCACTTTTTCCTGATTATCTTTTTAAAAATTTCTCGAAAAGTGTGACAACTAAACTTACTTCATATATTAGGTGAGTGATAGGGAAGGAAGAATACATTGACTTGAACTGAACTGAATTGTATTCGATGACCTGGTCCTAACATGGGTAGACTCTACTTCTCAAAGTCTCTCCAACTTGATCCCTCCGTGAGGCTTCTGCACAGAACGTCTCCTTCTTGCTGGCTTTCTCCAGTGTGGCAGTGCCATTTCTACATGCTAAGAACTGCTACACCAGGTCTATCCTGATCCAAGTGTTAAAAACCATAGGTTCTGCTCCTATAGTACATACAATTCATTCTAAAACTCAGCTAAGATCTCGAAGTGCTTTGTCACCTAAAAAGTACCAGTGTTTTTCAACCTGGGGATGTAGAGTCTTCAGAGGCAGACCCATTTCTTTCTCTTCCACCACTACTTTTCTCTTTATTTTTACAATTGATCCCCTCAACTTGTCCTTATTCTCATTTTTAGAGATCTTCTGTCCTCCCCTCCCTTGTTAGTTTACTTTTATTTCTTCTCAGAGAAATAAAAACTCTCGATACTTGTTATTTCTGGTAATGATACATACAGAAAACATGTCACACCTTCTGAAGATGTGGAATGATGAAGGAGCAACTCTTTGTAAATCGACAGGGGGCTACTCAAAAAAATTTGCTTGTTTTGATTCTTTTTCTTCCACATGATTGAAGCAAAAGCATTTATACCTCTTTCATGGTCTAGAACTAAATTATTTGACCCCTCTGAATCTTCTACACCTCCTCTGTAAAAGGAGGTAGATCTACCACTAACATTGTATTAACTGACTGACTGATTCATTCAATAAATATTTATTCTACTTATCCAAGTACTCTTAAGGTGCTTCACGTAAAGAAACCAAAGATCTACATTATCTGGATCCCCTGAGAACCATAGTAATAACCTGTGAATGAAAATTCAAAGAAAAAAATTTTTAAATCCAATTTAAAAAGCCCTACAATTAACCCATTATTCTTGCCTGTGAATTTCTATTCTCTAGCTAAGCTTCCACAAATACCACATATTTTCCACGTAGATTGTATTTTCTTACAGAAGTGTTCACTGTGTTACAGGAAAGAATGACCTATTAAAAAGTCATTATAGGAAGCAGAATGTGAGTTACAATAAAATGTCTCTTGTGTGGGTTTGTACTCCTACATGCATTATTTTATTTTTTCCTCACGTAGTGATCCTTTGAGACAGTGCCATCAACTCAACTTTACAACTAAGAAAATTCATTCTTCTCTTGACATACGTGTATTAGAGGAATTTTCTTTCTCTCAGTGAATACCCACAGCTCATAATACATATCTCAAAGATGTTAGTGGCATTAGGAATTACATTATAATTAAATTGAATGTGAAAACATTTTTCCTTCTCATTTTTAATATTTTACATATGTCTACTTTTGCAAAGTACACACTAAGGAAAGAACATGTATTGAGTACGACAAGCATTAAGAGATGAGTTCTTAATAGCTGGTTTCAAATTTTAAATCTCAATTAAAATGACATTAAAATAGGAATTTACTTTTGATTCCTACAGTTTTCACATAACATTTATAGGTTTGATTGTGAATACTGTAAAGCATCAACATCTTTCAGAATACCATTTCTGCTATTTCCCTTAAAGACTGATAGGGTCCTAAATTTTTCCAGCAAAGGGGCCTGTGTGTGTATGTGTATCTATACAGTATGTAGGTTATCGTGAGTCTATCTGAACTAGGGCAACTCTCCTGGAGCCAAAGTTAATTCCGGAGACTACTTTAAATAGAGAAGTTCTAGGACAGCTGTGTGACATAATTAGCAACAAAATGGCTTAAAACTATGATTTTACTATCTACTAAAGACTTGCAATGATGCTTTGCTGTGATAAATGTCTTACAAATTCTTCAAAACATTAAGTTCTCTCATTACAATAATTTTAACCTGTTTGATGTGTTTTCCACCTAGTGCCTGTATGTATCTAGGACATATAAAACTCCTGAAAACAGCACTAAAGAGACAACTCATTAAAACTCAATTTGGTTATTAAATTTTCAAGGACTTTACTTGCTACTAGTTAAGCTTATCATTCACTATCCTATACAAATAAAAACACCAATTAAAGGCGAGTGATGAGAAGAGAGAATAGGTCATTTATTTTCAGTAACCAGACCTGTCACCAATCACAGGGATCAAATACCCAAGGGTGGGTGAATCTCTGCAGTAATACAGCCTTCAAAAGATAATCATATTCACATTCTCAATAGCACAGACAGGACCATTTAATTTCTTTAACAGGAGACAATCATTTGCACAGTATCATAATAAATAAATACTTCTGTACTAAGACACATATTATGAGAGAAGCAATTCTGAAAACAGTGTCTGTGGCTCAAAAGCACTAATCTAATCAGCTGGGAAATATTTTCCTAACTGAGGT